TCACATTTCTCTTTCATACTCCCATTCACTTTCTCGCTTTCCATTGGGCTACTTCGTGCAGCTCGGATCCGACTACGATCCCTACCCTCGCCGCTCTTTAATTATTCTAATTTCCCATTGGTCCAAATCCGCAAACGCGGATCCTTGCTGTAATTCCTAATACGTGGCCCCGCAGTCTAGTCAGTTACAACGTGTCGAACGTGGCCTGTCCAAGTTAAAAAAATACGGCACGCTGTAAGCCTTTTTCCCGCTCCTTTTTTGAAAATCGAGCGGGCAGCGACTACCAAAATTCAAAAAACTTCGCAACGTAAATTATTTCCACCAGTACGAATAAAATCCTATTTGCTACGGGAATAACCGCCTACGTACCGTAGCCGGGACTAATTCGCTGTAAGTACGGCTCCTATCTAACACCGAATCCGCCCCATGGGGTTTGGCCATGCGCTATTGTCCCATCGTACCAGGTTCTCAAGCAGTATTGGCCAAGGCTCCCTGAGAACGCTGGTGCCCTTAGCAAATCGTGTTAGGGCGCTGAAGAAGAACGTCGGGGGGTAACCCGGTGTAGGAGCTCGTATTTCAGAGCCAAAACTGGTAAGAGCAAGGTGCGAGAAGCAAGGTGGTCGCGCTGTTTGCCATCTGCTGAATACGGTGCAAGCATTCGATTATCGCCCCCATTTTCGCTCGCTTGTCCGAGTAAGAACTAAAATCCTGAAAACAGCGGTAGACGAGACGCTGCTGCACTTCCCCCAACTGGACACTCAAGCCGTTCTTAGTCTTTGGTTCAAGCAAGAACAGGGTCTTCCCAGGTACTGCCGTGAGCCTCGATCCAACAAACTCGATGGTGTTAGATCCGTCATCCGTGCGGAGTAGGGATAGATTATCACCATAACAACTCCCAAACTCCGTTAGTATCTCCACCGCCCTGCTGATGGACTCTTCCTTTCTTTGATTGCATACAACTGCCAGCATCGCATCATCCATGAATCTCACCCTATGGACAAGTTTTCGATCGCTGCCTAGTGATCTTAGAAACCCGTCTTCATTCCGTGCACAGAGTAGGCAGGCCAACGGGGGACTGAAGTTTTTCCCCATAGGCACTCGTATGACCTGCCTCAACAATTTTCCTCTACACTTAGTGTAGGTGTGCTGCAGCTCGAAGGATACAAAACTCCGGATTTAGCTGAATGAAAACTTGACGTAGCCTTTCTCGAAAGTTTTCAACCCAAGTGTTACTTGCTTTCTTCTCTTGCAAACTGTGATCTTCTGGTATCCTTTCTTCTCCCATTGTCCCAGAAGCCATGAGAGTGCCTCCAGGATGGCTGAGTGCGGGAGGGATGTGAACATCTCCTTAATGTCAAACCCCCCGCAGATGGTCATCGTGTCCTTGCCATACTGCTGAAGCTTCCTTTCTGCTTTCTTCAGATTCTGCTTTAGTAAAGCCGTCGCAGTCAGATTGAAATGCTCCGCTCCAGGGAGCTTCTCCAGCAGAAAATTGAGTGCTCTCCATTTGCTGCCGGTCATAGTAGGTTCGCTGCATGCTGGAGCGATGGGCCGCCATCTTTCGAGATCTTTGTGCTTGGGCAGGACGTACGCTTGGCCAATCCTCCCCTTCGAGTTCCAGTTGGCTAGCTTGTGCAGGCTACTATCTACGAAGTCCTTCTTCATCACCTTAAGTATCTCCGTTTCGCTGCTACTGACTTCGTCATAGGCTACGTTCCAGGAGAACAGCTTATCCAGCCCATGATGGTATGTCGACGGACACATCAGCACAAGGTCTCCCGCGTTCCTGTCAACTTGTGTGATTAGCAAGTCTCTGAATCTCTTTTTGACCGAGTAGACTAGCCCTTCGTCTGTGTCACAGTGATTTCCTCGCTCTGATGAGAAACAACCAGCAATATGGAGATTCTTTAATTGCTCCCCCATTTTTTCACCTAGTAAATCTGTGAGTGCCAGTCGTATGTTACTGCTGACCTCATCTTCTGTCGTCTCAAGCCTCGGGCGGACCACATTCTTCCCATTCAGCAACAGTGTTGGCAGCTCCGTGACATCTGCTATTCTTGCGAGGACGTGTCCCCAGACGATGGGTAGGTCATAGTGCTTACATGTACAATACAGCTCCGGCTTCTTGCTAAGCTGCTTGTAGTCGCAGAGAATCTCCGCTACATTCTTGTTCCTTATCGAGACTACTCTCGCCTTCCTTTTGAATATCCTCGCGATCGCGGGGTGCAAACCGCAACTCTCGATCTGGGTGATTAGGATGCTCCTGATGCCACTCTTCTTGACTTCTCTACTGTATCTGACCTGGACTGTAATACGCTTCCGGATGTTCACCCCAGCTTTCCTGCCAACTGCTTTTCCTAGGAAATCCTTGATCAACCTCCTCTTTTCTTTCTCCTTAAATGTCCCAGCGCAGTTATAGAGGTGCATGAGTTTGTCCACAGACAAGAGGGAAAGTTCTTTCCGCTTGAAGGGCATCTCCAGGAGCTGCTGCAAGTACCCTTTCCCTCTGTCCCTGGCATTCTGCGTGATAACGATGGGGGAGATCCAAAATCTCCCTCCTTCCTCCAGCCAGGTTTTCGAGTGGGACAGTGTTATCTTCCTTACCTGCGCTACTACGGTCGATGTCCCGAACAACCTCTTAATTAACGCCCTGTCTTCACCCCAGACTTTTCCACCCTCGCTGACAACCTGAATTTGCTTCTTCCCTTCCCTATAAGTTGCATCAAGAATCATCCGGAGGCTAGTGCTACCTAGCGTGCCACTATCCGTTTGGAAAATGATAATACGTGTACGCTTCACCTCTACTTGTTCCTTGTCTCCGCCCAACCTCGCTCTCCTTTCCCTCCTTCCTAGTCTCTTCTTTGGATTACCCTTCGTACCCGTACCTATCGTATTAAGCGACGGAGAGAAGCTTCGGATGAGTGTTTTTTCCAGGCTCCCCAGCCCACTGACTTCTGAGGTAGCGATGAGAATAACAATATAGTTATTCCAGCTAAATTTCCTGAGCCATTTATGCAGCACCGGCGATTTACCGTCTGTTCCTGATTTGCCGCATCTAACATGCTCCCACCATCTTTCTGCAGCACCTCTAATGGACCTACCGATGTAAGCTTTCTTACACCAGGGCGAGACGAGACAGTATACAACTGGTTGCTTGAAGTCACACCAGTTCCAGCACCGCGGTGCTAAGTTCAGGAACTTCTTTACCTAGGGGATATGGCCCATAAAGGCCAGTAGCACCGTACAAGCAGTCGAAGCTTTCTCAGTTAATAACCTGAGCTTCGAGATTCCCGTGTGCCCCCAGATTACCGCCCTCAACGATAAGAGGGTGACAATGTAAGCCCATACGAGCTTTGGCGGGGGCGCAAACCGTCATTGGTCCTGAATGTCTTCACACTCCCAAGCCTTGTCTGACAGTTCGACGTCTTCGCCCCATGCCGCTCTGTTGAGCAACTCATGTACACCTTGCTCCTTGGAAATATAGGTAATATCTCTCGCTTCGCAAAGTTTCTTCACTTCTCGCCATTCTTTCGCGATCAGCTTGGACCTAATCTTCAGGACGTTATTCACGATGCTGTTCCCCTTACTGCCCGATGCTGGGTTCTCTTTTCCTACGGAGCAGTTCCTTATCGGCGTGCTGGTCTTCCTTCTCAGGCTCTTCTCATAGTCCGCCCTTGACATGACTCGTGCTTCTTTCTCCCAATCGTCCGTTGCTGAGTAGTTCTTCGCTATCCGCTTCCCCCGTGCTCTCTTCGGTGGTATTTTCGATACGTCATTCGTCAGGACCTCTTCTTCCGATAGGCAAGTATCGAGTCCGTTCGCAAACGTCTCTCTATCCCGTTTAGGGGTCTTGAAGTTCCCCGCTAGCACCATCTGGATTTCAGTTCTTATTTTCGCCCGGAAGTTTCGTAGTTCCCTTGACACTACAACAATCGTTCTCAGCTCCGCTTCTTCAATCTTTCTGTCCCTCCGGTCGCATTTCTCTATCATTATCCTTCGGATCTTCTCCTCTCACCTCTCCTCTTCCATTTGTTGCTTTCTGCGTTCAGCTTCCATTCTTCTTCTCTCCTCCTCTGCCTTCTTGTTCTCCTCTTTCTCCATTTGTTTCTGCATCTTGTAGTCTGCCCATCTCACCACTCGGCTTATACTATCTTCATTCTCCTTCCTGGACTGCCAATACTTCGTATTGTTAGCGAAGGTACCTTGTCCCTGCCCCACTGGGCAGTCTCTCGCTATGTGGCCAGCTTGGTTGCAATTGAAGCAAATGATCGAGCTACTTGCTCCGCCTGCTCCGGTCACTGCGTTGCCCGACGACGCCATGCTATTACTCACTGATGTACTTCTCCCTTAGTGTCTGCAGCTCCGCAGACTCTCGCCAATGAAGATCCCTGGCACACTCGTCTCCTTGCCTTGCCGTTGCCTGCAGCCTTGCTAGAACAATCTCATGAGAACCTTGCGCGGCAAACGAGTAGTCGACACAGCCACGAGTGTGAGTATCTCCTCTCACCCGGTAACCATGCTAAACAGAATAGTGGAAACAGTGGCCCAATTGCCTTTCGCACACACTTGGAATGTGCATCAATACAAACAACGCATACTCATCTCAACACACGCGCACATTCCCCGACGCGTTTCGATCGGCTGCGCTCCGATCATCCTTAGGGGGCTCTCCACTAACCCTCGCCTTACGGCCCACCAACTATCCTCCCTAGCTTCTGAGCACTGAGGGCCGATCAGGCCTTGCCCTCCTATATATTGTGCACCGAGTAGGAGGGTACGCCAACACGACACTTATTCCCTGACGGGCACTTCCACGAGGTACTACGGCTACGACGGACTGGAACTAGTCGTTGCATAAAACTCACGAAAAATCAGTTACGTGTTTGCCCCCCAACGGGCGTCAGACAGTCATTCCACGTAAGTCCTAAGTCCGCTTTTACCGCATGTTCACATGTTTAAGTGCTATGCAAGGCCAGCTGCTCCTTTCATCCGATAGTCCATCGAATGATCACATTTCTCTTTCATACTCCCATTCACTTTCTCGCTTTCCATTGGGCTACTTCGTGCAGCTCGGATCCGACTACGATCCCTACCCTCGCCGCTTTTTAATTATTCTAATTTCCCATTGGTCCAAATTCGCAAACACGGATCCTTGCTGTAATTCCTAATACGTGGCCCCGCAGTCTAGTCAGTTACAACGTGTCGAACGTGACCTGTCCAAGTTCAAAAAATACGGCACGCTGTAAGCCTTTTTCCCGCTCCTCTTTTGAAAATCGAGCGGGCAGCGCGGTAGTACCGCGACCTAGACAGCTGTACGCTAACGTGGTACTGCCACGTAATTTCCTACGTCCTAGTGATGCAACTACTCCGGTAGTACCTCCTTATTTCGGAATTATTTGCGGACAAAATACATATGCGACTACCAAAATTAAAAAAACTTCGCAACGTAAATTATTTCCACCAGTACGAATAAAATCCTATTTGCTACGTGAATAACCGCCTACGTACCGTAGCCGGGACTAATTCGCTGTAAGTACGGTTCCTATCTAACACCGAATCCGCCCCATGGGGTTTGGCCATGCGCTATTGTCCCATCGTACCAGGTTCTCAAGCAGCCTTAGCCAAGGCTCCCTGAGAACGCTAGTGCCCTTAGCAAATCGTGCTAGGAGAAGAAGAAGAAGAAGCGAGGAGAAGAATAAGAAGAAGCGAGGAGAAGAAGAAGAAGACGAAGTCGAAAGAAGAAGAAGGGGAGTAAAAAAAGAAGTGGAGTAGAAGAAGAAGAAGCGGAGGAGAAGAAGAAGAAGGGGAGTAAAAGAAGTGGAGTAGAAGAAGAAGAAGCGGAGGAGAAGAAGACGAAGAAGAAGAAGACGAAGAAGAAGAAGAAGTTAAGTAGAACAAGAAAAGGCGAAGAAGAAGAAGAAGAAGAAGAAGAAGAAGAAGAAGAAGAGAAGAAGAAGAAGTGAAGTAGAAGAAGAAGAAGAAGACAAAGATGAATGCGAAGAAGATGGCTGGTGGTGGATAGTGGGAAGTGGTGCTCGAAATAAGAGCAAAAAAGAAGAAGAAGAAGAAGAAAAGCGGAGGAGAAGAAGAAGAAAAAGCGAGGAGAAGAAGAAGAAGAAGACGAAGTCGAAAGAAGAAGAAGGAGAGTAAAAGAAGAAGCGGAGTAGAAGAAGAAGCGGAGGAGAAGAAGAAGAAGGGGAGTAAAAGAAGTGGAGTAGAAGAAGAAGGGGAGGAGGAGAAGAAGAAGAAGAAGAAGAAGAAGAAGTTAAGTAGAACAAGAAAAGGCGAAGAAGAAGAAGAAGAAGAAGCGAAGTAGAAGAAGAAGAAGAGAAGAAGCAGAAGAAGAAGGCTGGTGGTGGATAGTGGGAAGTGGTGCTCGAAACAAGAGCAAAAAAGAAAAAGAAGAAGAAGCAAAGAAGAAGGAGAAGAAGAAAAAGAAGAAAAAGAAAAAGAAGCGAAGGAGAAGAAAAAGAAGCGAAGAAGATGATGAAGCGAAGAAGAAGAAGATTAAGAAGAAGAAGAAGAAGAAGTAGAAGAACAAGAAGATGAAGAAGAAGAAAGAAGAAGCGAAGTAGAAGAAGAAGAAACGAAGTAGAAGAAGCGAAGTAGAAGTAGAAGAAACGAAGTAGAAGAAGCGAAGTAGAAGAAGCGTAGTAGAAGAAGAAGCGAAGTAGGAGAAGACGAAGCGAAGAAGTAGAAGGCGAAGAAGTAGTAGTAGTAGAAGAAGAAAAAGAAGAAGAAGAAGAAGAAGAAGAAGAAGAAGAAGAAGAAGAAGAAAAAATGAAGTAGAAGAAGAAGAGGCGAAGAAAAGGAAGTAAAAGAAGAAGAGGTATAAGAAGAAGAGGAAGTGAAGAAGAAGAAGAAGAAGAAGAAGAAGAAGAAGAAGAAGAAGAAGAAAAAAAAGTGAAGTAGAAGAAGAAGAGGCGAAGAAGAAGAAAAAGTGAAGTAGAAGAGGTATAAGAAGAAGAGAAAGTGAAGAAGAAGAAGAAGAAGAAGAAGAAGAAGAAAAAAAAAAAAAAGTGAAGTAGAAGAAGAAGAGGCGAAGAAGAAGAAAAAGTGAAGTAGAAGAGGTATAAGAAGAAGAGGAAGTGAAGAAGAAGAAGAAGAAGAAGAAGAGGAAGTGAAGAAGAAGAAGAAGAAGAAGAAGAAGAAGAAGAAGAGGAAGTGAAGAAGAAGAAGAAGAAGAAGAGGAAGTGAAGAAGAAGAAGAAGAAGTGAAGAAGAAGAAGAAGAGGAAGTGAAGAAGAAGAACACGAAGAAGAAGAAGAAGAAGAAGAAGAAGAAAAAGAAGAAGAAGAAGAAGAAGAAGGACATGAACATGAAGAAGAAGAAAAGGAAGAAGAAGGAGAAGGAAAAAAAGAAGAAGAAGAACAAGAAGAAGAAGAAGAAGAAGAAGAAGAAGAGGAACATGAACATGAAGAAGAAGAAGAGGAAGAAGTAGAAGATGAAGAATAAAAAGAAAAAAAAGAAGAAGCCAAAAAGAAGAAGCGAAAGGGGAGAAGAAAAAGAAGAAGCAGTGGAGAGGGAGAAAAAGAAGGTTAAGAAGAAGAAGAAGAAAAAAGGATGGCTGGTGGTGGATGGTTGGAGATGAAGAAGAAGAAGAAGAAAAAAAAGAAGCCAAGAAGAAGAAGAAGCGAAGGGGGAGAAGAAAAAGAAGCAGCAGCGGAGGGGGAGAAGAAAAAGATTAAGAAGAAGAAGAAAAAAAAAGATGGCCGGTGGTGGATGGTTGGAAGTGGTGCTCGAAACAGGGGCAAAGAAGAAGAAGAAGAAGAAGAAGAAGAAGCAGAAGTAGAGAAGAAGAAGAAGAAGCAGAAGTAGAGAAGAAGAAGAAGAAGAAGCGAAGTAAAATTAGAAAAAGAAGACGAGAAGAAAAAGCAAAAAAAAGA